CAGGAGGTCGAGAACAGTGCTCGGAAAACACCCGAGGCCAGCCTCGAGAGGCTGGTTCCCTTAGTAGATTTTGTAGAGGCATGGTATCATCTTCCCAACATATCTGCATGGGTCCTGCGTATAATAAAATCAGGATACAGACTGCAGTTCGGTCACCAACTGCCCCCCCCCCCCCAAGTTCTCTGGGGTGGTGCACACTGCAGTGGATCCAGAACAGGCTCAGGTGATGGAACAAGAAGTGCAATCTCTGCTGATGAAGGAGGCCATAGAACGTGTTCCTCTTTCAGACAGGGAGTCCGGGTTTTACAGCCGGTACTTTATAATTCCAAAAAAGGATGGAGGGCTGAGGCCTATTTTAGATCTAAGGCATTTGAACCGGTCTCTGAGGGGGTTCAGGTTCAAGATGCTCACTATTCCCATCATCGTGAATCAAATCAGATCCGAGGACTGGTTTGTCACGATTGATCTAAAAGCAGTGGTGGATCTAGAAAATTTTACATGGGTGGGCAAAGGGGTGGCAAGAGGTCTTGGCAGGGTGGCAGGGGTAGACGGTGGGAATCCCTTACAAACACAAAAACACAGTAGTTAGTTTAATCATGCCCTTACACACTACAAAGGTTTTTAGGGTAACACTTTACTTGAAGGGGTGTGCATAAGACTAACATGACACCTTCATAATCATGACATGACACATGTTATGAATATGAAGGAAGTTTTATGCATGTTTATGACAACTGTCATTAAGTGTCGTTCGCTCACTTATGACATTTTTAATGCAAATATGACATTGTTTGAGATGTCTTTGTTATGACACCTTGACATATATAATACATCAATACATCATAACCTGTCAGTGTCATGACAACTTGACATTACTAAGACAACACAACCTGTCATAAACATGACATAGCAGATTAATTGTCAAACTTAAGAAACCACTTTATGGTTAACATTACATTAAACTGTCAGGTGGTTGGTTTTGACATTGGCTGTCATGAAGCCATTATAACTTTTTAATGACAAATTCAATTTGTACCACTATAGTTGAGGTCACGAAAAATATTCATGACACAGTTATAATGGCCTCATGACAGCCAATGTCAAAACCAACCACATGACAGTTTAACTTAATTTAATGTCAAGTTGTCATGACAAAGACACTAGGTTGTGATGTTATGGTTATGTCAAGATGTCATAACAAAGACATCTTAAACAATGTCATATTTGCATTCAAAATGTCATTATTGAGCGAAAGACACTTAATGACAGTTGTCATAAACATGCATAAACCCTACTTCATATTCATGACATGTGTCATGTCACGATTATGAAGGTGTCATGTCAGTCTTATGCACACCCCTTCAAGTAAAGTGTTACCAAGTATAAAAAGCTAAATGAAAATATAAAAAAAGTACAATAATTGTGTCCAAGGACTTTTAATGGTTAGGCTCCAGCTACTTTCTTCAACTACTCTTGCCTGCAAAAGTCAATATGTGAAAACCTCTGGTTATCCTTGTATTACATTACACTGTAGGGCCATGTAGCTAATAAGTAGCCTATATAACAAATATAAAATCAGAAAGATTTATCACATACACACAGACCAGTTATGTTTAGAGAGTACTTAATATAATAATCCTAATTGTATTTGTTATTTCCCCAGTTGTAAGACTGGTTTCATTGCTGTGATACCTGAGAGGAATTGGATTTGCTTAACTAATCAAATGATCGATCTCCTAACTGGCACTGTATTGTGTGTTGTAACGTAACGTTGGCGTAACGGCGACCATCAGTAAACGTTTTGGATATAAACAATTTATATTCTTTATTAAGCTGTTCTTGTCTTTACTAAAATCAAAATTAGGCTAATCAAAGGGAAGAGTGCTCTTACAAATCACGAGGGAGCGATTTGACCGCTGATTTTGGCTAACGTAACAGACTCGCTGTTTTTGCTGATACTGAATCGTCTTTAGCATACAATACATTCATTACAAATGTAACTTTAAGTTAAACGTGTGTTTAACTACACCTGGGGAAACTCACTTCACCTTCAGAGGCTCTGGGGCAGCTCAGTCTCTCCAGTTGGGTTGCAGGGCCAGCTCACCGCAGCAGACTCGCTGTGTGTGTGAGCCAGACTGAGCGAACGCCGCTCTGCACGTTTGAATCAGGGACGTAGGCTACTAATTGAGGGGCAGGGGGGAGGGGCTTTAATAAAAATTAAATTGTTCACTTTTGGTAAATGTATCGTTTAGTTCACTGTTTTGAGAAGCTTGCGGGTTGTTTTTACAAGTAGCCTACATTTTTTGGATCATCAAAGTTAGGGGGGCAGCTGGGGGGGTTCTAGAGTGGGGGGGGGCACCTGCCCCCCTTTGCCCCCCTGTAGATCCGCCCCTGTCTAAAAGACGCTTATTTTCATGTTTCCATCCTTCCATGTCACAGGAGGTTCCTGAGGTTCGCTTTCGGGGGCGAAGCTTACCAATATCGGGTTCTTCCGTTCGGCCTAGCACTCTCTCCCCGCACGTTCACCAAGTGTATGGATGCAGCGCTAGCTCCATTGAGACTTCAGGGCATCCGCATACTGAATTATATCGAACACTGGCTCATTCTGGCCCAGTCTCGAGAAATGGCAGTTCGGCATCGAGATATCGTCCTTGGCCACATTCAGAACTTGGGGTTGAGACTCAACACAAAGAAGAGTGTGTTGGAACCAGCTCAGAGCACAACGTTTCTGGGCGTGGTGTGGAATTCGGCTACGATGCGGGCACAAATGTCTCCCGCGCGTATCGAGTCCATTCTGACAATGGTGTCCGGGATAAAGCTAGGCCAGGCCATCACTGTAAAGCGATTTCAAAGACTGCTGGGCCTCATGGCAGCGGCATCCAACATTATTCCTTTGGGTCTTCTTCACATGAGGCCCATTCAGTGGTGGCTGAAAGCCAAGGGGTTTCATCAGATTATCCTTTGGTCCCAAGGGAAACTATTGTTTATCAGAGCAATGTACGTTCCGGGGGTTCAGAATCAGGGAGCAGACATCCTGTCGAGGCAGGGGCTGAGGCCCGGGGAATGGAGACTTCACCCAGATGTGGTGAAGTTGATATGGGAGAGGTTTGGACCAATGGAAGTGGATCTGTTTGCGTCTCGAGAGACGTCCCATTGTCCACTTTGGTTCTCCCTCACACATCCAGCCCCACTGGGGTTGGATGCCATGGTACAGGCCTGGCCGAGTCCTGGAGAGGGTCCGTCAGGAGGGCATCAGTCTTCTTCTGGTTGCCCCAATGTGGCCGGCCCAAGTATGGTTTTCAGACATAATTTCACTCCTGATAGCTCTGCCGTGGCAGATTCCTCTGAGGAGGGATCTGTTGTCTCAGGCGGAGGGCACAATATTCCACCCTCTCCCAGAGCTGTGGAAACTGTGGGTCTGGCCCCTGAGGGGGTTCAGTACCTGAATGCTGGTCTATCAGCCGGGGTGGTTGAAACCATACTTAGCTCTAGGGCTCCGTCTACTACGAGATTATATGGCCTCAAGTGGAATGTGTAGTTTCCACTTGGTGTAGAGAACATGAGTTAGATCCAGTTAACTGCCCGGTGGCTTCAGTTCTGGAGTTTCTTCAAGATCGTTTCTCTGCGAGTCTCTCCCCTTCCACACTTAAGGTGTACGTGGCTGCCATTGCGGCTTTCCATGCACCAATGAGTGATGCTGGGGAGGCACCAGCTGGTCATTCGTTTCCTCCGTGTTACATGGAGGATGAGACCGACAACCAGGTCCAGGGTTCCTGCCTGGGACCTGGCGGTGGTTCTCGAAGGGTTATCCCTGGCCCCCTTCGAACCCCTTCAGTCAGCTTCGCCCAAGGACCTGACGTTCAAAATGGCTTTTCTCTTAGCTATTACCTCTCTAAAGAGGGTGGGAGATCTTCAAGCCCTGGCAGTGACACCAGCACGCTTGGAGTTTGCCCCTGGCGGAGTTAAAGCCATTCTGCACCCGAGACCTGGCTATGTGCCTAAGGTGCCTTCTAACACGGCACGGTCTACGGTCCTGCAGACATTTCATCCTCCACCTCATGTGTCGGCAGAAGAAGAGAGGCTCCATTTGCTCTGCCCTGTCAGAGCTTTGAGCGTTTACCTCGAGAGGTCCTCTTCTTGGAGGAGGTCGGACCAACTGTTAGTGTGTTTTGGGTCACCTAAGAAGGGGCTCCCTGCTTCAAAACAAACCATTAGTAATTGGATTGTTCAGGATGTTGCCTCGGCCTACAAGGTGCGCAATTTGCCTTCACCTTTGGCCATAAGGGCTCATTCAACTAGAGGCATGGCGTCCTCTAGGGCTCTCTTATCGGTAGTGCCCTCTCCAGGACATCTGTGAGGCAGCCGGTTGGGCTACCCCGCACACTTTTATCAGGTTTTATAGTCTGCACCTCCCTAGTACGCCTGGCGCACGTGTGCTCTCGTCCTAGCTGAGTGCCTGAGATCAGTTTCACTCTAGGGCAGGCCTTTCTTCGATGCGTGGCCTAGTGGGCATTCGTTCCCCAAAGAGTTGTTTTCAACGACGCAGTGCGAGTTCCCTTCTCAGGGAACAAGGGTTATAGTCATAACCCGAGACGTTTTCTCCTCTGCTACTGACGCTTGCTGATTGGTGCGAGATGCATTCTGGGATACCTGTCTGTCTCAAGTCCGCACAAGTCACTGATTGCATCCTCACATTCAATATGTATTTTTAATGCCTTTTATATATTTTGTCTTTGAGCATGTGATGCTTTGTATTGATTATCCTTAAAGTGCCTGATTATATAATTTACATAATATGTAATACCTTTACTTTAAGTCTGCAACTTATCGTTCAATAAGAATACAAAAATATAGATAGATAGATAGATAGATAGATAGATAGATAGATAGATAGATAGATAGATAGATAGATAGATAGATAGATAGATAGATAGATAGATAGATAGATAGATAGACAGATAGATTGTTTGATTGATAGAAGTGAAAAATTTAAAACTAAAATATACACTGTATTTTTTTATTATTTAAAGGAGCATTTACATTTGATAAAATGAATTAGGCTAATAGCCTAATCACTTAAATGACATTCATTTATGAATGCAACTTCCTCAAAGGATTTCTTTTAATATATTGCCTACAGTCGTTTAAGAACATCTCCACTTTCCTGAGTATCTGATTAATCAGAGTTTGATGGCGTTTGCTCGCTCTTCTTCTGTTGAAGACTTCTGGATCTGAATTCATAAACCAGCACAGCAACAGTAGCCACGCCCACCAGAGCAGAGAGAGCCAATCGGATCACAGCTTCAGTAAAACCACAACAGTGGATATAGTCTTCAGAGAGAAGAAATAAAGAACTTAGAAATATGATTCACTTAGTTTGTAGAAAAAAATATACATCTGCTGACAAACCTGAACTTGTTTTGCAGAGTTGAGTGATGTCCAGATGTGTGGTCTGGTTGCTGATAGGATTGTTCAGCACACAGCTGTAGGACTCATCCAGACACTGAATCTCCAGAAGTAGAGAGAGACTGATGCTGAGATCACACACACTGATGCTGGACAATACACTGTTTCCTTTGTACCAGGAGAGAGTCACATAACTCACATCCACCACTGAACACACAAATGAACAATTCTGGTACAGTCTGAGAACGGAACAGTCTCTGCTGATGACAGGAACTGGCAGATGAGCTGGAAAATATTGGAGAATAAATGTAATTCAGTAAATAAGAGTTCTGTGGTATTTGTTGGTTCATTGATACTTAACATTGATTTCAATTATAATTTTTTTTTATAAAATGTTGATTATTAAAGAATTACAAGAATGCAACATTGCTCAAACGAATCTGAGTATAATGACAGAATAACTAAGTTGTTGTAGGGGGCTAAACGAAACTACTGTTTAAATAATGGTAAGAATGGGTCACCTATTAAATGCTATTGGCCATAACCTCTGACTAATGATCGGACTGGCGAGTTTGTGACGTGGGATCCGCGTAAAAAAGCACGGCCTGCGTGAGACCCTAAGCGACATAAGTAACCGAATGAACGAGAACAATAAGAGCAAAGAGTTAAACAGAATAATCAAATGTGTAGTTAAACTATTATACAAATGACAAATAATCAATTGGCATTCTAACCTAAATGAGGGGTTGTGACAAAAATGGAGTCTGATAAAAGTAAATTGAAGTTAAAATACTTTGCCACACTGAAACCGTCATTGGGCCGATTGGGCAGGCCTGTTGTTTTACATTAATGGCAACATTAATAGCACAGACAGCTGCAGGTTTATTAGGCTGCTGTCACTTTAAGACTGAATGCACGGATCTAATAAACTGACACGCATTCAATTCCTTTCCCAACTGTTTATGTGCACTTTAGATGTAACTAACTGTGTTTATGAGAATACTCGCCATATTGTAGTGTGTTTTTGACCACAGCCCAAAGTAGGTTGCCTGTTCTTTGCTTGTTTCTGTTTCAGTCCATCTCAAAAGCACGTGCACAGAAAGCTACCTGAGGAACAGAGTGAATTCTCTTTCACAGCTTAATATTCAGCTCCATAACTCTTTTAAATATCAAGCACATCCTATAGTGGACAGTATTTTACTACAGTCAGGTTACATGATTAGACTGATTTTGACATTAAGGAGGGTGAAAGCACACCTCTTTAAATGAAAGGAATGTGGCAATGCTTAAGTCATTTATTTGTATTATTTTCATTAAATTATTTTAACTTGTTAAATATGTTTAATTAATCGCATGCATTAATGCGTATACACCCTGTTTTCAGAGGATTGTACATGCAACTGTTCAGATCCGATTTGTGTGTCCATGCAGCTCTTTAGTTTTCCAGAATATCTGCATTGGTTTCTATGGCAATGACATTACACTAGTAAACATACGCCAAAAACAACAACAACAACCGCAGCATGGATCTTATTTCCTTGTTTTTATTTACTCAAATAGCTAGAGAAACCAGAGTTAAAAGCCACAAGTTTTTTTTTTCTTATTCATCTTAACTCATTCGTCACCATTGCGTGGCTTCATTTGTCATGTGGAAACGCGAAAACGAAAAAATAAATTTCTGTATATTTCTTTATTATTCATAATTTTTTATTATTTTATGCTTTAAATGTGTAAATAAAATAAAATTCATGGCTCTGGACATTGTTTATTTTTGTAATGGTATCTGAGTGTTTGCAAGGTTGATAGGCTACATTTAAACTATATACTTTTGTGTAGTTTAATGTAACAGTGCGTAGTGTTGCTGTCCTGTGAGGGAAAAAGTAGGCTACTTCACATTTGTACATGAATACTTAACGCAGTATGAAGTTCCTTACATTCCCCCACTGGTTATTTTGAAAATTAACAAAATGTAGGTCTATTGTCACAATATTAACAAATTGTTACTAATTTACATGTCCGGTCCCCTCAGTTTTCTGATTGCTTAAAAAAAAAAAAAAAAAGACTTTAGGAGGCAAAATATTTTTTTGGTGATTATGTGAATTACACTGCGCAAACCAAAGTAATAGGCTAGGCTACTACCCACCGGATGAATAAGGGTTGGCTCTCAGTCTCCACAGTACATAAAATATTCATTGTATTTTATTTTATTTTTCGTGTTCGCATTTATGAGGAAAAAAACAATGTTACGGACGTGTTCTCCGTTACAGACATGACCGCTCTGAAAGCAGCAAAAAAATGCTTTAAAACTGTCACAGAGACATCAAACAGAAAGCACAAAACCTTTCTTTAACCTGAATTTCGTTTTGTATTAATTGTATCTTAATTTTAATCAATGTTTCATCAACCAATTGCCTGGATTTAATAAATAAGAAGTAAATATAGCAGACGATAGATAGGAAACGGAGGAGCCGGCGTGTGAACTGGAGCTCGTCTCATAAATTAACCGAAACTCAGCGTATAAGGTAGCCTACTTGCCTCACATGTCTACTTTTAAACAGAACAATTCAAAACGAAAGAAAACAGACTACAGACTGCTCTCTGCTTATGTAATCCTTATGAAATGTGCATTTCTCTCTGGCACGTTCACTACTGAAGATCGCGAGTCAGCATCGTCAACTTCATCTTAGCCGACAAAGAAAACACTTGTTTATTAATAAACAATTACAATATCTCCTTGCTATATTTTACATATTCATAATCATACTTTTGCCGGTTCTTTGTGACAGCTTTTAGGTGCTTTATTGGCAGCGCCACCCTTACATGTCGCCACCGCATCACCGCACCCACCAGAATAGACCTGTATATAAAATATATATATATTTTATAGCCTATATGTATAATAATCTATTATCTAATGAAATAATATATTATTTCATTTCCTATATATATTTCTATATTATGGTAATTTAAAAATACAAAAACAAACAAACAAAAAAAAACAGGATTTTGTTTTTAAATGTTTAATGGCATCTTTTTGCTATGTATCATGAATGAAGGCCAGTATCACCAGTGCCAATACTGATAGGCCTACTTATGTCTCTACTAAATTGATTTTTTGACAGATTTTTAGCCATTAATTATAGCCATTCAACATTGCAGTATCATATTGTTTTTGTTATTTTTGACCCACATAATGTAAACAGTTCTGTTATTTAGGTAGGTGTAACATTAATATTCAGGTAGGAAATACAGAAACTGAATAAAATAATTAAATGTAAAACAGCGCAGTCTTCTCTGTATAAATTAAAATAAAATATATTAATATTAATATAATACAACATTCATAACACACACACACACACACACACACACACACACACACACACACACACACACACACAAACGTTTGTTTTTGTGATATATGAGGACATTCCATAGGCGTAATGATTTTTATACTGGACAAACTGTATATTCTATCCCCCTACACTGCCCCTATCCCTAAACCTACCCATCACAGGAGACATGCTGCATTTTTACATTTAAAAAAAAACATTGTTTTTTATGTTTTTTAAGCTATTTGAAATATGAGGACTCATGCAATGTCCTCATATATCACGTGTAAGTTGTAATACCAGTGTAATATGCATGTCATTATACACATTTGTGTCCTCATATATCACAAAAACAAACACACACACACACACACACACACACACACACACACACACACACACACACACACACACACACACACACACACACACACACACACACACACACACAGCCACAAAGTATACAGTATATAAACTTGGTAGTAATTCTCTACTCACCATAGACGGTAAGATTGAATGTGTTGAGCGGTGTCTCTGATCTGGTGCTGGATACTGTATAAAGTCCAGAGTCAGTGTTTCTGGTGTTCGTGATGGTCAGAGATCCAGTCTGATGATCCAGCTTCAGTCTGTCTCTGAATCTCTCATCAGGAAAATCTGTCTTATTGTCCTTTCCATTGATTGTAGCTATGAGATTGTTGTTGTGTCCAGTTCTCCACATTATCAGATCATCTGTCTGTATTTCAGTATCAGAGTTTAGAGTGACAGATTCTCCCTCAGTCACTGACACTGACTTCACTGCATCATCAACACCAAACACTCCTGAACAACAAACAGAAATATTCACTCAGAATTTGGAGGTTTAACAGATTTTTTTTTTCATTTTCATTTTGAAACAATTTTCTTCATTCTGCACAGTAGTAGTTGAGTAGGTTTATTCTGATACATTTAAAAAAATAGTATATTTAAATGTATTAAATAGGCAAAATGAATGATGGAAACATTTAAGAACAGAATAATGTGCAGGCAAACAAACGATAAAGAGAACTGAAGGCATAAAAATACTTACCAGCCAGACTCCAGGAGAACAAACAGAAGTAAATAATCAAATCAAACATTTTCTTCAGTATAGTTGTCTAAGTGGTTACACAACAGAAATATTATAATAATCAGTCCTGGCACTCTTGAAAAAGTCAAACGTGTTGCCGGTCTGTTGTAAAGTGATTTAGTGAAACTGCAGTCAGTGTGAATAAACACCTCCTGTAGCACCGCCCACACGGACAGACCCTTTACAAAAATTATTTAAGTATAGGAACAGTTAATACTGATTTATGTCCTGCCGACTTTTAAATAATTTTACACCATTTTCTTTATCAAAATGGAATTAATCTATTATTTCATTCATTTATTTGTTTCGTGATTGAAACATTCAATTTATGGGGACAAAAATCCCACAATAATGAGTTCCTGATTTTACACTGAAAACATGATGTAGTTAAGCAATATCAGGAGCGCTATTTTGTCTGATTATCAGCATGATTGTAAATGTGACGTGATTTTGATTTTATAACAGATTGATAAGTTAATAGTAGCCTTAATCAACCTTTGTAGACACATATTGTCGTTTTTTTCTCATTCAATGAAAACAAAGCTCAAAACAAAGCAACAGCAGAACCACAGCAAATGCTATTTCACACAAACTCCATTTCTGAAAATCAGTTTTCATCAAAGGAGAAGCTTAAAGATCCCCTTGCACTTTTCCAACAAAATAAAATCACTATGGATTAACTTTCAAAAGCAAAATGAATTATTTATAATAATATATATTATAATAATATAATTAAGTTTTTTTAATGAGTTCTCTGTTCTTCACATTCTTCTTATTGTAGATCATTGTCATCGTGAGAAGTCATGTACACTTTCTGAAGGGAGGAGTTTATTCACACTGACTGCAGAGTTCCATTAAACCACTTCACAGTCCAGCAGATTCCATTCGCTGTGTTACAAAGCGTTCAACATTTTTGAGACCCGTGTCAGGACCCGATTATTATCACAGTTCTGTTGTGAAACTGCTTTGCGAACTGTTGAAGAAAATGTTTATTTTCATCTTTTTGTGCTGGAGTCCGACTGGTAAGTATTTTTATGTCTTCGCATCTGTTTATATTGCAATTTGTTGACAAACATAATTCAGTTATTTAATATTTCCATCATTAATTTTGCCTCCTATATTTTCTAGTTGTATCAAACTAATTTACTAAAATACTTTTGTGTTCATGCTGCGGTCCCTTTCAATGAGCATACATTGAAATTAGTGCAGAGAGAATAATTATTTTTTTTAAATGTTTAAAACTTTTATTGAGTGAATATTTCTGTTTGTTGTTCAGGAGTGTTTGGTGTTGATGCAGTGAAGTCAGTGTCAGTGACTGAGGGAGAATCTGTCACTCTAAACTCTAGTCTTACTGAAATACAGACAGATGATCTGATAATGTGGAGAACTGGACACAACAACAATCTCATAGCTACCAAAGAAAACTATAAGATAGATTTTCCTGATGTGAGATTCAGAGATAGACTGAAGCTGGATCATCAGACTGGATCTCTGACCATCATGAACATCAGAAACACTGACTCTGGACTTTATACAGTATCCAGCAGCAGATCAGAGACGCCGCTCAACACATTTAATATTACCGTCTATGGTGAGTTAAAAGACATAATTACTATACTAACAAAATCGGATGAAAATCTAGTTTGTCTTTGTACAAAGTTGTATTTGTTCTTGAAAATAAAAATAGTTCTATAAAACATCAAATTATATATTGTGCTTGATCTTGTAAAGGAAATTATATTTCACACAATTTTACAATACATTTTAATGTAATAATTTTTGCGTGATACTAATACATCAATTGCATTTACAAATAAAATATATCTCTTACTTAGTGTTAATTATATTTATTCTGTTTTCAAGCTCGTCTGCCTGTTCCTGTCATCAGCCATTCTTCAAAAAAATCCCCAACTTCATCAAATTGTTCATTGGTGTGTTCATCAGTGTTGAATGTGAGTGATGTGACTCTCTCCTGGTACGCAGGAATGAGTGTATTGTCCAGCATCAGTGTGTGTGATCTCAGCATCAGTCTCTCTCTACCTCTGGAGATTGAGTGTCTGGATGATTCCTACAGCTGTGTGATCAACAATACCATCAGCAACCAGACCACACATCTCAACACTGAACTCTGTCGGCCATGTTCAGGTACATCTGTGATGATATTTATTATTTATTATTATTTATTTTGTGTTTATATACACATTCACTCACACTAATGACTCTCTCCTTCTCCTCCAGACTCAGTGTCTCTGATAGTGCTGATCTCTTCTTCTGCTGCTGCTGCTGGATCTCTGATGATTGTTACTGCAGTTGGGATCTTCTGCTTCTACAGGAAACACAGAAAAACAGACAGAGAAGGCAAGTATTATATATATATTAAAATAATGTAAAGCAGTGCTCAAACATCATTTCATTGAGTGTTTTGTTTCTGTAATTATAAAACAGTTCAGACCCGTGATAGAGAGATCACTTACGCTGATCCGACATTCTACAAAAGACATAAATCGGTAAGAGAATTTATTTCTGTGTATGGTGTGTCTGAATTATTGTAGCAGCGAGTCTAGACAGATATTTATAAAAGCAGTAGATGTATTTTAGTGTCCCTTTGTCTTCTGCTCTGATTTGTGTATTTTGTAGAGTCACAGATTTAGATTTAGATTTAGATTTAGGAGAGAGCGGGGCACAACCTATAACGCTTTTTTTTACTTTCTCCATTTGTATAAATCTACTTAGGGTTCAGAGTTTTTTTTCTTTTTTCTCCAAATTAAGTTCACACATGTGTGGTACAAATATGTTGTCTTGTACTTCTTATTATGCCTAAAGAATGGAATTGAAATGTGTAACATGTAAGGGGCACATTGTAACCGTTCACATGACCATATGACAGCTTAAAATGTTATCTGATCTAATCAAACAATTATCCAACACAAACTAAAATATTTTGTCAATAAAAGACAATTATTATTATTTTTTTAAATAAAATAATAGCATTTCTTAAGAAATTAAAAAATGTAACTATATTGGAACATGACAATGAACACACTGCAAAACACATCTATACAGCATGTCCAAACAATGCAGGCAAATAGATGAAAAAAAATAGTGATAAAAACACAGAGCTGAACACAACACAGCATCTCAGAACAGGAGACAAATAGCATGAGTAACTGTATGATAGGGGTGTCCGAAGTCGGTCCTGGAGAGTTTAGCCCCAGCTTGCCTCAACATAGTCTGAAAGTTTCTAGTATGCTAAGAGCTTGATTAGCAAGTTTTAACACAGTGTACACAGGTTAATGTATTCTGCTGATTAGATCAGGATTAAAATAACTATCTCAACTGTTAAAAAACATATAAGTTTAAAATAATATCAGATTTGTCTAATATTAAATAAACACAAAAACAGAGATGAGATAAATAACTTAAACAATAATTTTACTTTTGTTATCGTTAAATATATGTTCAGTGACAGGGGAGAGCGGGGCACAACCTAACACATTTTGGTTTTGGCTCAATTATTAAAAAAATAATTAAGATAGATTCATCTTTTTTTATATACAAGCAACATACACATCTCTGCTAATGAACATTTTAAGTTTTTTTTTTTTCTAGGACCTACCTTTTTCGTACAGCTGCACTGAAAGTGACAGAAGTGCAAATGTTACAACTTACCCCATATGCGGGGTTAACAGTAAAAGACAAAGGGGTTAGTTGTAACACTTGTGTGTAACACACATAATTCAGAACTATATTATCTGTATAGTTTGATATTGTTTGTGCATCTGTATTCGCTAGTTGCATAACAACGGAAATAGAATTTCTGGTTTGTCTGTGGTGGGCTTGATCACTTCCGGTCACTGCTTCCGTCAATGGCACTCGCTTACTTAACCGACCTTTCAGCATAGTGTAAAAAAAACACGAGTCTTTTTGGTATTAAAACAGGTGTTGTACCGAATTCCGACTCGCGGACAAATCTCACGCCCCTTCGCGTGCACGCGCCTCTCACATAAATACGCGCTGAAGCGAGTTTGAATGCACTTCCTTTGCCATATGCGTTTATCGATTGATTTTTCTCACAGCAAGCACCAGATCCTGCATGAAAGCTTTGTCTACACTTACATAAATTAACAGAAAGTGAACTAGTGTGGATAAAAGATGCAAACAAACAAAAACGTATGGCAGATCGATACGAAGCTATAAACTTCGACGGGTAAAGCTACCATAATAAAGCTACCAGCTGTCAAAACATAACTGTTAATTTCCCATAATTTAACTGAATGTAACTTTTGTGTGTTAAACATGTGGTTCATAAGAAAATATTGTATCACTCTCCCCATTGCACAAAAATGTCATTAAAAAGAATAATATTTAACCTTTTTCATGAAGATAGGCTTTAGACATGTCTGATGAAGGGCTGGGCCCTAAACGTTACACGAGGTGAGCAACTATTAAAACTCGCTTAGGAGCATCTTCTGGTGTGCGGACTCATTGTTTACTTTTGCATAATAAAATTGAACATTTGAACATTGTGTGTGTGTGTGTGTGTGTGTGTGTGTGTGTGTGTGTGTGTGTGTGTGTGTCTGTGTGTGCGTGTGTGTGTGTGTGTGTGTGTGTGACTCTGTTGTTACTCTGTCATAGTAATTGACCATAATAAATTGAACTTGAACATTCTATTTGTGTAAGCACGGTTGTTACTGTCAGTCTATAGTATTGGCCATAATAAAATTTTAATAAAATTTTAATACATTTTAATTCATTGTTGTTACAACTAACCCAGAGTCTTGTTGTTACAACTAACCCAGAGTCATGTAGCCATGAACTAGCTCACCTTACAGCTAACAGGCAAAAAATTGAGATGGTCCTCACTGCGGAACATGAAATCCACGGGGAGGAGTCGGATCCAGATCCGACTCCTCCCACCTTACATATACCTAAACCTACCCAACTCCGCCCCCTGATCCCTAAACCCACCCCTAATCCCTAAACCCAACCCTAATCCTACCCATCTCCACCCCTTGGATCTTGATCCGACTCCTCCCCGTGGATCTCATGTACTGCATTGAGGTGCTACTGAAAAAATTAGCACTAACAACTTACATGGAAAATATCTACACAGACACACAATAAACATAATAAAAGTTTGATGAGTTTAACTACAAAGCAGAAATTCCCATAACAAAAACAAAAAAGTAAAAAAAGTTACTTTCTTACCTCAAAATTGTTTTTTCCACTTTAACATGTGCTGTGTCTGCCGCAGGGCTCTACTTTATCACATGTAGAATAAGAACTAAACTAAGCATGTGTGAAGTGAATCAGGTGATTTGTAACTAGTTCCTGATTGGACACATTGGAATTGTTACAACTGACCCCTGTTACAACCATCCCCGGTCTCCCTACAACACCTGTTTAATACCAAAAAGACTCGTGTTTTTTTTTTACACTATGCTGAACGGTCGGTTAAGTAAGCGAGTGCCATTGACGGAAGCAGTGACCGGAAGTGATCCAGCCCACCACAGACAAACCGGAAATTCTATTTCTGTTGTTATGCAACTAGCGAATAGATAGATATCCATACATCCATCCCTCATCCAAACATCCTTCTATTATGGATCAATATCATGGATAGAGATTTGCACAGTTTTGCAAATATCAAATATTGTAATTGCAATTGAATTATATTTGTGTGTGGCATGCAAAATTTTGATTAATAATAATAACAGTAATAATAATAGAAACGAGCTTAAAATGAAATTTTAAATGGTTTATTGCATTAAAAACTGGGCTATATTTTAATAAATAAACAAGTGATCAATGCATAGTAAACAAATGTGAAGAAAAGAACATACTTTTACATTTAAATTCCAACATTGTTTGTGAAAGTCCAACAAAGTTAAATGTGGCAAAATAAATATAAATACTCAAACCTGAAAAGTTGTGTGGCTCCCTGTTTTCATTTCATTATCGTTCTAAACTGCTGTTACAACTAACAGTTGAACACTGTTAACTAACCCCGCTGTGTAAAACATATTTTAACCCTAGCTAACATTTGCGTTGCTGACATGTTTCAAAATGGTGGAAATGGAAATGGTGACATACACACCCAACTCAGAAACCTTAAAAAAAACCTATGATGAAAAAATGTATACTTGCATGGTGTCAAAACACTCTTTGTCCAGAATCTTCAAGAAATCTTATCAAAACTTTCCACGAATCAGCGGGAGTCTTGGCAGCGAGAGAAAAAGAGCGGAAACACAACCTGCTTGACCCTGGCTAACTGTAAAAGGTCCATGTTACATTTAACCCCGCGTTAGGTTGTGCCCCGCGCTCCCCTATCTTCCAAAGATTTTTTAATTTTAGCACAATATTTTCTCTATATAGTGTTGATATGGCAACTAGTAAATACAAAAAAATTTCATCATGCTAGCATGTGTGGAAGTATTTAAAAAAACAACTGTGATACAACTAGCCCCACGTTAGGTTGTGCCTCGCTCTCCCCTATTACATTATTGTCACAAACTCTTATGTCATCAGATATGCTTTTATCTCCCCAAAATGTGAAAATACCATATTACAGGCAGAAGGAGGATGATTTTAGAAAACATAAAAGTGTAAAGAGAGTTCTTGATAAATATTTCAGTAAACAAGTATTTGTGTTTTCTTTCAGAGACAGAGTGCTGCAGAGACTGATGCTGTGGTGTACGCAGGAGTCATGAGACGTTGATCAACTCTTGAAGTACTGAGCAGGAGAAGGATTTACATGTTCTATGTGAATACATATATACGGAATATGCACAATGAATCTCATGGTATAGTTATACATACACTCTTAAAAATAAAGGTTTCAAAAGGGGGGTTTCGCAGTCATGCTATAGAACAGGGCTCCTCAAATCCGGTCCTGGAGGGCCAATATCCTTCAGAGTTTAGCTCCAACCCGGATCAAACTCATATACCAGGAATTTTCTAGTAACTCTGAAAACCTTGATTTGCTTCGAGGCCGGAATTAAGGAAACCTGATAGAGAAGAACCATTTTTGGTGACCCAAACCTCTGAAAACAGTTCAAACAGTTCAGTTCACAATTTTTCTTATTGTGAAGAACATTTTAATATTGTACAGAACATTTTTCCATTATAAAGAACCTTTCGTGAAATGGAAAGATTCCATGGATGTTAAATGTTCTTCATAGAAGCATCGATGCCAAAGAACCTTTATTTTTTAAGAGCGTACACAGAGCTGGACTGGGACTAAAATTCTACTTTGAACAAAACCAGCCCATCCGGGCAACGATTCCCCTTGAATAAGGTTAAGGTCTTAATTTGGTGTAAATTAATGTATTGATAAAATAAGAGAGAAACAAATAATAACAGATTTATAGATTTTATGAACGCAGTTAAC